GTGCTCCTCCGCAATAGATATTCAGGACCAACAAGGATCCAGTCGCAGTCCACATTATCTTGAATTTTAGTACCACAGACATGCTGCTACGTGTGGAAAACGTAAGACAGGAAAGTACAGATTTGGGATACCGTTTTACCCAATGTGCAACACCCGAATTCTGCGGCCATTGTCGGAGAACACTGACGAGCAGGAGCGTGAGCGCCTTTCAGTAGTGCTAAAGCGAATAAAAGGTCTTTTGACGGAGAGCGGAAACTTGGACAGCACTAGTTTTGATGAATTTCTGGAAAGATGTCAGGTTTCAGAAGAAGAATACTTGCTAGCAATAAGAGCCAAACTACGGAGATGCAAAGTTCTCCTGCGCCGTAATCCCTCGGATGCAATGATTAACCCGTACTCACTGAAAATACTGTCTACGATGGGGTCCAATATGGATCTGCAATACGTGCTCGACCCATATGCGTGCGCATCCTACATCATCGATTACATCAATAAATCCGACCGAGGGGTTAGCGCAACAATTGAAGAAATGGTGAAGGAATTACATAAAGGGAACAACACCCTGCGTGAAGTAATGCGGAACATCAGCAGTGTGCACTATAACAGCACCGAAATTTCTGCTCAGGAAGCCACAACAACATCTTGCAGCTGCCTATGTCATGCAGCACTAAGCAGGTTATCTTTATACCAACGTCTCCGCTAGATGAGCGTGTGAGAATTGTTAAGCCGCAGCACCAGCTCCGTAATCTGGATCCTACTTCCAGCGACTGCTTCATGCATGGATTGCTGGAACATTACACAAAGCGTTCAGCTGAGATGGAAGGCGTTATACTTGCCGACTTTGCAGCATGTTATAACTACAATAAAGCTAGATCACGTCTATCATCGCAGGCCACTGCAACGGAAGATGATAAAACTGAAAATAAGAGTTCCAAGGCGGTGCAACGGAAGGACAATTTATACGCCTGATAGATGGCGCGGGATTTATTCGGAAACGTTCTCGACCTAAAGTAATCCGCTATAGAATGTACAACATCCACACAGAGCTGGAGCAGTTTTACCGTGAAGCGGTGATGCTATATCATCCGTGGAGAAATGAAGAAGAGATAATAGACGCAGACTATGAGACGCTCTACAACACATATCGCGAAGAAATTATGCGGATTAGGAAGTACCACTACTTCTCAAACGAAGTTCTAGAGAA